GGGGTGTGGTTGTGGGGGGGGGGGGGGGGGTCTCTATTATTTATTGAGGGAGGCCATTCAAATGACGGTAGAAGGGTGTGGTGGGACACATGGTTTGAGACTAAAAACTCTAGTTTGTTTGTTTTAAATTAAATAAATTTTTTATTGGTCAAAGTTTGAGATAAGTTACTTTTTTTGACAGCAAGTTAAGAGTTAATCCTAAAATAAGTAAAGAATAAGTAAGTTATCCAAACATGTTTGAGAGATCTAACTGGTGATTGTTATTTCTGATCGGGCTAAGATTTTCTTGTATATACTTTTAGCTTATCAATCTGTATCCTCGTGGTCACAGAGATTTACTGCATTCAGCCAACTTATGCACGTACTTCTATTTTCCAGGTTGAACCTGGGGCCTGTGATCAAAGTTTTGGGATACATGTTGCGGAATTTGCCAACTTTCCTGAAAGTGTTGTTGCGCTTGCTAGACAAAAGGCCTCTGAACTAGAAGATTTCTCGCCCATGGCAATTGTTTCCAATGATGCCAAGGAGGTATTGATCTTTTGTTATTCTTTAGTTTTTTTGTCAAAAGAAAAATGTAGTTCAGAATGTTCTGATTGCAATAGTTGATTAAATATTTTGTTATTGTGTGCTATAGCAAATAAGTCGAAAGATTAAATTGTTTTAAATTATGTGGTTTAGCAGATAAGTTGAAATCATGCCATTGATGTCAATAATAGAATATTATAACTGTCGTGGATAAAAGGAAGCTGTAAACAATGTGAAGTAAATACCATCTTGGTGTAGTTCTTGGACTTGGAGAAAGTGACCAAAAATTTACTGTTTTGGTAATTATAATGACGTGTGACTATTAGTTTGAAAGACTGAAAAATGCTCACGATAGATCATCTAAATTATTTCTGTTACTACTTACTAGTAATTTGCCTGTGGAATTTTTTTGAAGCACGATGGATTCTGGAATTACTCTTTCTAGAATGATTAAGACTTAATTTGAAAAATTACTTGTACAAACATACACAATGAATTTTCTTGAATAAATACAATCCAGAGTAGATCTTGGTGACTTCTGAGCCATTTGCTATCAAGTTCATCAATGGCTATGCTTTCCTGTGATAGGGACTTCTTACTGACTGACTAGCTCAGCGAGGAGCGAGTTATTAATATGTGAAAACGTAATGATTCCATGCAGATAAATTCTTGCTGCTATTTGAGAGAGACGGAAGTTAAAGTTTTGGAGTCTCTGAGAGAGAGAGTATCAGCGCTTATAATTGTTAAAAATGAAATAAAAAAATTCAAAAACATAAATTAGATGGAAGCATTATACCTATCACGTGGAAAAAATAGTAATTTCAATTCTGCAGCTTTAATATAGATATTAGGCAGTCTCCTATCGTTGGTACTAGAGGTAAGATGTTGTGCTTGTATTTCATCTTCAGTGGATAGATCTTTGGATTACCTAGTTTCAATTCCTCTTTCCTTTTCAAGCCACACGTTCCCATTTTCATTGATAGAGAAAAGCATCTATATAAGGATAGGCCATTCACCTTATAGGGTGCATTTACCCTGCAGTTGTTTCAACTACTAATTGTTGACTTCAAACTTTATAAAGGCTCAAAGAAATAGTTAGTGGCAGATTCAAGTCTTGAGGAGAATGTTGATTATTGTGCCGATAAGATGAATACATTAATGATCCATTCAAAGTTCTCTCTTAACTGGCAAAATATCACTGAGGAGAAATATAGGCTAAGAAAAGATGACATCTTCCTTTCAGTTGAAACATACTGTCAGATTGGTGTTTGTTGTTGCAGAAGTTGCTCCTTTGTCTCCAACCAACCTTAACGGCCCTATTAAGATAACTATCAATAATATGTTTCAAAATTGGCTACGCATAGAGAATTATAAATTGCAGGTTAAAAACCTTTATCTATTGAAAATACTTCTTACCCTGGAAATATACTAATTGTAGTGATGATATTCAGATTTTTGCTAAGCGGAAGAGAGAGTTCGATCCTGATGATATATCTAGAGGCACCTCACGAGCTCACAAATTCTTAAAGGACTTCACTGAGTTGCCACTAGACAAGATGGACTTGGAACTGGCATTGCAACATGTGAGCAAATTAAGGACGGACTTGGAGAAAGACACAACAAACAGTTGCTGGCTCCAGCAGTTCTTTCAATAACTGTCTTCAAATGTCATCCCCGTCTTCTATATTGTTTTGGTATTTGTGAAGTTAGTGACTTTGTAAATGAGATGCGAATATTTATTCCTCTATGCAGAAGCACCAAAAGTAAAATCAGCCCTTATGTGTAGTTGGCACTGGGGTCTTTGGAAGATGATGATGTAATATCTGTACGGTTTTGCAATAGTTTTTGACCTTGACAGGAAATTTTGTCACCATCACCTGCTCAAGGGTGAGTCGGAGTTGTTATTTCCATGGCTAAATGCAGCGCCACTCTTGTACATATGGGCATCTTCTGTATGCACTGTTTCTTAAAAAGTTAAGCCAGACTACATTAATCATGGTCATTCAGCTCTTTCTCAATTATCACGAGTTGCTGTTACGGATTAAGTACATGTTCATACTGCTCAACTCATGTTCTGGAAAGTAATAGTACTGCTACAGGATCTGTTGCTCCTGCTCTGCTCTTATGGAAATTGCTAGATTGTGTGAAATTGTAAAGTTTGAAACCTTGAATGCAATTAAAATGTAGTGTAAAAATTAAGAACAAAAAATGAGATATGCACGATCATGTGCAAAGGCTAAAACCTTAAATGCAATGAAAGAAATAAAAAATAAAAAATTGCATTAATATAACCACCGCTTTATAAATTGCTAGCCGTTTCCTCCTTGTGCACAAGTGAAGGGGCTTCATAGTTGTTGTTGTTATGTAATACGTGAGAAGTGCAGAATATTATAGCGGGTAGAATTTTATTTGATAGAACATGTTACTTGTACAATTACTTTTTACAATATTGGTTGACAATCATACTTGTTAACACCACATACACATTCATCCATTTCAAAAACTGTTGTTAAAATGAATGGACCAGATTTTGACAACATCAATAATGTCATCCATTATTGTCAACAACAATTAGACAAGTAGATTAATTCATCATGTAAGCTAATAGAGGAATGAATTGACCTCAAATTCCAACAATTTGCATGCTTTCACAATTTTAATTGTCCGGTCAATCAATATTGACACAACCATTCCTGTATTAGATTAAACTCGTCAATACGAAAGCCCAGATATTCTGGCTGAGAACTCGCCTAAAAAGGGATTGGTTAAATATCAAAACATGCATTGTACAATTCAGTTACTTGCCATAAAAATAGCAAGCCGGTAAGCAATGGATGAGAAATACTATTTTCCCTTTCCCTTTTCTTTGGAACAGCGAGTGTGAATGCACCTCTCTTTCTAACATCGCCACTAATACAATGAAGACCCTGGAAGCTCTACTCTACTAAGGGAAAATGACGCAATAATATCTGCAAACAATAGTCAGCACCAATTCAATTCTGAACGAAGCTTCTTGCGCAAGACCCAGAACATCAACCTCTTTCGTCCCAATTTCCACCACATAGGCACGGCCGCTTGTCTTCTCTTTCTCTTCTGTTTTTCTGCAGGCCATTCTCAGAACAAAAGGAAATAGTCAAAACCTCAGTAATGATTACATTGCCGGCTGTCGAAAAAAGGAAAAAAGAAAAAAATTGCATTGCACTGCCAGTCGAGTAATATCAAAGATATAGTTGAGTTTCCATGAATGGTGAAACTGCTAAACGCTAATTGCACTAAAGTAATATTATAATTTTGTTGTGGTTATATAGCATCAGTTGTTGCACAATGTCCGTGCCCTCATAACTATAACTGAAATCACCTTTACTATAATTATACAAAAAGAACATCTCCTTACTCATTACAATTTTTATATAAAGTTAGTTCAGTACTTGTTTTAGTTATTTGTTTATTTAATTGCTGTATCCCTAAGGTGGTGTAAATTTTGAGAATTGAAGTGCCCCTTATTTATGCTTACTAGTACATCACTTGCTACTACGCAATGTTTTTTCCAAGCAACAGTTCACAAGGAGTAAAACAAGGCAAAAACTGTGGCAGGGAATGCAAAGGTCAATACTAAGAAACGAGTGTCTTCAGAAAAACTACAAACTGAAGCAAGGCTGGATGCAAAGAAAATATCACCACCTCCAGTGAGGCAAAGATAAAACGGAGCCGCAAAAATCTCACTCAAACAAAGCAAAGAACAACTAGCACTGGATTATTATTATTTAGTTGTCAAGTGTAAATGCCAATAGGAACAAGTGAGGGGAAAAAAGGGAGTTGGAGGCATGGAGCTAGACCACAAACTATAGAAGGAAAATATCAGAGTTTTACTTACTTGCATGAAGGAAGGCATACGACCCCCATTCTGATTCTAATTTAGAAAACTTGGGTTCCATTGCAGGCCAATATTTCATCTGAATTTTTAGGACCTCTAAAACAGTTCGCAATCCAGCCTTAGTAGGTACTATGCTATCCAAATTACATTCAGGAGATTCCCCAAGTAAGACCTTAATGAACAAAGAACTGCATTAGGACAAGCCAAAAGAATGGAAGAATGCATAAGCAGTAAAATATAATACAAACAAGAACAAAACAAAGAACAGCCCTCATCTTCAAACCAAATAAGAAGTTACTCTATATATATGGATCAGATTCAGGTTGGTATCAGTTGTTTGACAACTTCAGTTGACATATTTAACAGTCTAAAATTCAGCTATTTCAAGTTACATTGAATTATCTCCTTTTTGCGGCTTAGAGTTTGTGGAATACAAATTATAAGCCTGTTTGATGTAGATTTTTTCAGAATAATTTTGTGAAGAAATATTTTTTTGGAGAATGTATGATTAAATAGTTGGGAAAAGTTATGGGTCCATGTGCAAAATTGTTTAATGGGGACAATGTGGTTAAAATTGAGTTTGGGGAAAACTGGGTTTTAAAGAATCTCTACCAAACATGGGGAAGTTTATTTTATGAGGAAAATTTTAGGACTCTGTCCAAGTTAATTTGATCATTTGATTCGTTGTCAGTTCTCAAGTGATTACATTCTTCTTCTGTTTCTTCTGTTTTAATGTTTTTGGTGGGAGGCTTTTCCACCGCTGCCTCAACCAGACACTTCCAAAATTGCTAAAGGTTACCCATAACAAAAAGTCAACAGAAAACCACATTTGCAATCAAATTAAAATATAATTATACAAACATGAAAACATTCAAATCCCTAAAACAAAAAACAAAATTATATTTGACTAGATAGTTAATGGAAACATATTGGATTCATGTCTTACAGTTTAACTTGTTACGCTAGGGATTTATTCACTCAACTCCCCTGATTTTTAAATCGTGACACACCCTGATTCATTTAGACCAGCTGCAGGTATGTTTTCCTAGATAACAGTCCGTGGTTATCAGGACTTGCTAGATTTTCTGCCAATAAAAAGGCCCCACACCAAATGCATAATACCAATGGCTTGGGAAGCAGTAACTGATCTACACATTTGACAGGTATTTCATTTTATATTCAGGATGAAAAAATTCCAAAACTGTAGTGGTGAAGATAAGATTCAAGATAAGGGAGTGGCCATTCTATGTTCTGTGGGAAATTGGGTGGGTAAATACTTAATAAACAAGGTTTTGCAACCACTTGACCGAGAAGCTGATACTGATACATAGATGACACCTATATTGCTCATAGATCTCAAGAAAGTGAATAGACATCAGAAAAGAGGTTATTAACCGATAAAACTTACCTTAATTACTGCAGTGGCAGAGGATGATATTGAACGAAGATTGTATCTGCAGAAGACAGGAATTTTATAAACAAGCATAAGATAAGAATTTTGATGGAAAAGGGGTATTTAAAATGATCCAAGATAGATGAACAGAAATTAGCAGCAAACCCGCCCTCAAGGATGACCAATAACTTCCCGCCAGAAAGAGCACTGCACATTTGTGTCATCTGTGCATAGCCAGCAGGAGTAACCTGAACAAAATCCTCACATTTAACCAGGGAAAACCAGAAGTATTGCAATGCTGGTACAAGATATTTATCATTGATTTGAAAGCAAAAACCAAATGACATGCATTATATAACCAAATACAAGTTAGTAAAAAATTCAGATGCTTTGGTAACTGGGGAATGCCAGTTCAAGCAATATGACAATTGGCAAAGCTAAAGGGAAATCATAATAGATATTCCAGATCTTATAGAGTACAATTCATATAAAAACACAAAATAAGACATTTTAGAAAGAAGAAAATTCCTTACATCACAGCAGCCAAGAGGATCACCCCTTGCAGCATCAAATCCAGCTGATATGATAGTGAAATCTGGGGCAAACTCTGAAGCTGCATATCATTGTAACTCAAAACACCATCAGTGGATAGCTGGATACAAGTTACTGACTGAAAGCAGGCAAGAACTTTTGTTTGCTAGTAAATTTTGACAAGTTATGATATTGGCATAATGCAAAAGCAAAGATAAGACAAATATTTCTATGAAACTAAATATATTCCCCCTTTCAAGACCATGGACATACGAGAGCACCAATTAATTATTATGGTATTGGGATCAGAGAAAATCTGACTGCGATAGATTTGGTATCTTACAGTGCAGATAAATTCATTGAAATGCTAGTTAAAAAACGATAGACAAAGGAAATATGCAGCTTGAACAAATTTTACATTGAAAATTTTTTTAGTATTCTGAACTTCGGCCAGAAGAATGAACACGAACATCAAGAATTACAAAATCAGAAAATAATTGCAACATCTTCATTTGCGTAGACAAAACGCAATTGTGTTTAGTTCCTCCGTCACTGTATTATTAACCTTCATCACCTACTCTTCCCATATAAATCAAAGGGTGTCATTCTAATTAAATTATAACCTTCAAAATTTTCCACAAAAGATAAAACATCTACACAAGAAATCCCATAAGAGAAGATATTGTAAGAACTATGTTAGTAGGAGCTGTAGCTGAGGACATTAAAGCTCTTGTGAGAGGACCAATACATCAAGATGCTCACACACAGGCATTTACAGCTGCTGACATTTTGGCAAACAGAGGTCAGACGAATATAAAAGATGATCCCCCTGATGGATCTAGCATTTAATAACGAGTGGGCCGTATGGATTATAGCTTACCGAGATATTAAGAAGTAAGGAATTTCATTGTACGATTGAAAATGATTCATGAAAAATTCAATTTGCACAAGGCCTGGAAACAAAATGGAGAAATCTATGGGGGGCTAAAGAAGAAAATGTGACGAAAACCTTCATTATGCAGGGCTTAGTTGGTAGTGACTAATAAAATGCACTAACGGTGCCTGGTCGGAAGTGACTTCTGGAGAATTATGGACAACCTTCTCTCTAGCCAAATGCCTATAATTCAAAACTGGGGCAAAGAAAAAGTCTTCAAATAACAGTAGACATGTGCTTAAAGTGGCAACTATCTAGTTCTATTGGAATTCCTGAATCTCCTTTATTCACTAAGGAACAAACCAAATTCAACCCTCGCAATACCTCTTCCTTGTCAATCTTAGCCCAAGCACGTAATTTTTAAATACCCTTCCTACCATTTTTAATACATATGATCCTTAGATCATTGGTTCAAAAGCCACATATCATATAATTGGTTTGTCAAATTATTTTCTGCTCACACTCTATACTCAAGTCATCAAAGAGAGTTAAAGATTGTTGATGAATCTTTGTGATGTAGGATTAGATAAACACAAACACAGAACCAGTCACATAGAAGGAGAGGGGGAAGTAGAAACCAGGGAGGAAAGATGAAGAAGTAGGAGGAGAAGGAGAAAAGAGAGGGCGGTGGAAGTCTGCAACCCTCAATTCATTTCATTCAACAATCAAATCTGCCCCCATGCATAGAAGGCTGCATACTTCAAGTTGATGTAGGATTAGATAAACACAAATACAGAACCAGTCACATAGGAGGAGAGGAGGAAGTAGAAATCAGGGAGGAAAGATGAAGAAGTAGGAGGAGAAGGAGAAAAGAGAGGGCGGTGGAAGTCTGCAACACTCAATTCATTTCATTCAACCATCAAATCTGCCCCCATGCATAGAAGGCTGCATCCTTTTACACAATACAAAGCATAAAAGGGCTTGGGCCAGCCCAATACATGATACAAGCCCAAAAACAAAATGAAAGGCTTGGGCAAGCCCAAAACATAATACAAGCCCAAATAAAATACTATCTAAATAGGCCAAACTAGATGTCCTCATCACTTTGTCTACTGTTTCTGGGAAGGGAATAATAATTCTATATACAAACCTTAACTTTAGTCTTACATGCAAGTAAATTCGTGTAGTTAAAAGTGGTCTTACAGGTTATAGGCTACTGAGAAAGAAATTTCCTTCTATAGTTTTGAAATTTGTTTCTAAAATATATAGGCTTTGACTGCAAATCAATCAGATTTTGATTCCAAAATATATGGGATTTATAGTTTTAAATTTGTATAGTTATCATTAGTCATTGTCGCCAACTCCTCCTCGACTCCATGGAACATTGACACAGTATCCTTCTGCACCATTGGTACCAACCTGCAAAAATGGAGGGAAACATGCATATTCTCTTTTTATTATTAACTCAATGAAATATACTGGGTATGTCAATGCCTGGATCAGGGAAGAATATGCGAAGAAGTTCAAAGAAATAAAAGATTTCTTCAACCAATAAACATAAATAATGAAAAGCATAATCCTGTCAACAGCTCTTTTATTTATTTTTACCTTAGAACATGACTCAGACATTAAGCACATGTTTGGTGCAGATTCTTTAAACTAAATTTTCCTCAATCTCATTTTAAACAACATATTCTCCCAATAAAATAATTTTGCACAATGACCCGTAATTTTTCCTACTTTTTAACCGCACATTCTCCAAAAATATCACTTACCACAAAATCTATTCTCAAAAAATCTACATCAAACAGGCTCTAAGTTACCAAAGCTGCAGGAACTTGATATCAATGAATTTGAGTTAGGAAGAAACTTAAATAGCACTTCTTCAAGCCCATTCTTTTCCCACGTTCTGCCCAAATTTTGCAAGAAAAGAATCTCAAGCCTTTCTAATTAACTAACTAAATCAGTATGTTTCCTATTTTTAGCATTTAAATTTCAGAACAAGGAGAATTTTTTAATTTTGCTCCCATAACTACTAGAATTAAGCAGAATATCATTTCTGTTCTTCCATCTAAAGAATCCTTCGTGTTTTATCTATTTAACTCCAATATGGTGTAAAATCTTCTCATCATTAGGAGCATAGGAGGCACTATTATTAGAGAATTTTGTGAAAGCAAATTCTATCTACTGTATTTCCAACAAAAGAACATCAGATCCATGCTCAAATGCGCAGCAAAGCATATTTAGTGGTAACGAAAGCTTAGATACAGAGTGACATGCAACTGTGATAACACCACCACAAACATGAGACAGTACCTGATTAGCAGCTCCGGTACCAGGATAAAACTTTCCACCCTCGTGTCTATGCAGGGATATGTACAAAACCTACAAAAATAGATATAGGTTACCAGAAGATTAAAAAAATAAAAAAAGGAAGTTGATGATTACACTAAAGATCAGGCACAAAGTACAATCTGGAAAATAAAAAATGATCTCGTCATGCATGATAGTCCTCATGCGAAGTAAAGACAAGATTCACTGAATTTAAATCTTCTGTTGGACCTTCCCCATCATCTCTATTATATCTAATTTTAGGCCACATAAGTAATGTCAACCAGTTGGAAAAATGCCCACCATCGGTAGTCCGTATGTCACTTCTATACCTTCTCCCACTTTCGACTCACACCCTAGCCCAGCACATGTAAAAAAAGGGCAATTAACTACAGGTTTTTTTTATAAGTAATCAAATATTTTATTAATCATGGATAATACACAAGAAGTGTATTATCAATTAATACAAGACAGAAAAGACATGAAATTGGGCAACCCGTCTGTGCGAGTAATAGCCACAGTATTAAACCAAATATACAGTGTCAAATAAAACAATTTTTTAATCTGCTCTATTGTCCGTGTATTATTATCGAAACAACGGCTATTTCTCTTCCTCTAAATACACCAGACAAAGCATCCTGGGACAAGGTACCAAACAATCTTCCTATCTTTATTACGAAATCTTCTCCCCCATGCCTTCAAAACATCCTCCATACGCTGTGGAAACACCCAATCCATGTATTGAGAAGCAAAAATATCGTTCCACAGGGTGCGAGCACCGTCGCAATAAAGGAACAAGTGGTCAATCGTCTCCCCATTCCTCCGACACATATAGCGCCATTCTATAATATAAAAGCCCCTACATCGGAGGTTATCCACCGTTAACACTTGTCCCTTCACAACCGTCCATAGGAAATATGCCACCCGAGGGGGCAGTTTACAACGCCATACCTTCTTCCATGTGACTGAACTCTCCTCAGGTTCCAATAAAGATCTAAAATAAGAGCTTATTGAGAAAATGCCATCGCGTGTCAACCTCCACCTGCTACGATCACTTTCGCCCATCCTGACGTGCACCTCATACAATGAGGTTAGGAGTAGTGCATAATTATCCAATTCCGAGTCATGTAGACCCCTCCTAAAAGCAATGTTCCAGCTAGGATTCCCATTATGCACGTGAGGCTTCATGCACCATAGCCTGCGGCATCAAAATAATACAATACAGGAAAGAATACTCCGCTCTTAATGGCCGATCTCTACACCAACAATTTTCCCAAAATCTGATAGTATTGCCATTTCCCACCTCATACACCAATCTATCCTGAAATTCTCTCCACCCTCGTCATATATACCTCCACAAACTCTCCCCATAAGAACCACGATCCTCGGCTGAGCACCATCCCCCCTCTAGAACACCATATTTCGCCTCTATAATCTCTCTCCAAAAGCACTTCCTCTCTACACTAAATTGCCACAACCACTTACCCAACAAGGCCTTATTAAACAAAACAAGACTCCTCAATCCTAGGCCCCCCGTTTTTATGGGAGAACACACCACGCCCCAGTTAACCAAGTGTAGTTTCCTCTCCTCCCTTAAACCTCCCCATAGAAACTCTCTTTGAATCCTCTCTAATCTTTTTGCCACGGTAACGGGGATAGGATACAATGACAAGAAGTAAGTGGGTAGATTCGATAAAGTGGACTTGATAAGTGTAAGACAACCTCCCTTTGAAAGGTACATACATTTCCAACCCGTTAGCCTCCTCTCCACCCTTTCCCCAATACTATTCCAAACGTGTATGTTTTTAAACCGTGCTCCTAAGGGGAGCCCAAGCTACGACTTAGGCAGTTGAGCAGTCTTACAACCCAATATGGCCGCCAACTCCTCCACATTAGCGACATCCCAAACTGGGACGACCTCAGATTTCCCCAAATTAATGTTCAATCCAGATATAGCTTCAAAGCATAGTAACAGACGAAGCAAGTTCCTGAATCGCTCAACCTCTGCATCACAAAAGATCAATGTATCATCTGCAAATAGCAAATGGGATACCTGTAACTAGTTAATCATAAAGCCCTTCAACAGACTTTCTCCCACAGCTTTCTCAAGCGTCCTACTTAAAGCCTCCATAACAATGACAAACAATAATGGAGACAACGGATCCCCTTACCTCAAACCTCTACTATTCCGTAAATAACCCTCTGGAGTGCCATTTACCAAAACCGAATATGAGACCGTAGATATACAAAAATGAATCCAACGGCACCACTTGTCCCAGAAGCCAACATCGCCTAAGCATATACAAAAGGAATCCCCAGTTTATGTGATCATAGGCTTTCTGAATATCAAGTTTACATAACATCCCTGGAATCCCTATATGCAGTCTCGAGTCAATGCATTCATTTGCTATAAGTACAGAATCGAATATCTAGCGCCCTTTGACGAAAGCATTCTGAAATTTAGATACCACTTTTACCAACACCTCCTTTAATCTGTTAGCCACCAGCTTTGCAATAATCTTGTACACCCCGCTAACTAAGCTGATCGGACGAAAGTCCCTAATATCTGATGCTCCCGATTTTTTGGAATCAGCACAATAAATGTAGCATTAGAACTTCTCAAGAACCTACCACACTGAAAGAAATAAGTAAAGGCATCCACAATGTCCGATCGTACCACTTCCCAACAAGCCTTATAAAATGAGAATGAGAATCCATCCGGCTTGGTGCTTTATCATGAACACCACCTCCCTAATCTCATCCTCGCCAAATGGTCTCTCTAACTAGCTTGCATCCTCCTCAGTAATAGTAGAGAAATCTAAGATGCCCACCAATCCCGTACACGCTCCCCAAAACCTTCTACTTTTAGCCACATCTTCTCAAACCTAAAAGGTCTTCTTACAATACACCTCGCAGTCCCAGCCAGTAAGATAGGGAAGTGATCAAAATACACCCTCCCTAATCTTCTCTGGGTACTTCTCCTCCCATTCCCCACTAATCAGAAACCGATCTATTCGCGATAAAATAGGCAGCTCCCGATTAGAAGACCAAGTAAAGTCTCCACCAATCAAAGGCAGGTCCACCAACATATTTTTCCTGATAAAATCTGAGAACTCCTCCATTGCCTTTATTAATCTCCACCACTTGATCTCTCGGTAGGAAATCAAATCACATTAAAGTCACCCCCAATACAAGTTGGAGACAAGTTGGAATGTTCCACCAAGCCATCATCCCCGCCAATTCATCCCACAATCTACGTCTACTCTTATCATCATTAGGCCCATAGACTCCTATAAACATCCGATGAAATCCATCCCCAATATTTCTGAACAAAAGCAATAAAGAATATAGTCTTTCAATAACCTCCTCCATATCAAGAGTTTCCGTGTCTCACATGACTAAGACACCTCCTGAGGCCCTTGACGATCCCTTATATTGATACCCAACATGCTGTCCCCCCCCCCCAATAAACTGCTCACAATAGCCCTCGAGACGAACTCCAATTTAGTTTCTTGTAAACAAACTAAGTCCGCCCTCCATCCCCTTAGCAGATTTCGAACCCCTAATCTTTTCTCCGCTACATTAAGCCCCCTTACGTTCCAGCTAATTATTTTTGGCATCATCTTAACGCTTTGTCTTCCCTCCCAAGCAATAATTCTTTAACTCGGCACCCTTACCACCATAATTTACTGACCATTCAAGCCGCTTAAGTTCACGGTCACGTTTTCTTCTTGTTTTACAGCCTGGTATACTCATCCCCAGTCCCCTACTGGCCTCCAACTCCGCGAATAATTGTCACAATCTACTTTCATATCCATCACAGGACACACCAACCAACTTACTGAAATCCTGAATTTTTTGAAAAACCCAATTTGAAGGTGGGGGACCTTCAATCGCATGCACCTCCATCATTTCCTCTACATGATGATATTCCAAAAAGTCATATGGGAATCCCTCTACTTCTTCCACCTACTCGATATCACCGTCTAATCTTCTTTTCTCGGCGCCATTTGCCCAAAGTACTAGAGCTTTGTCAGACCCTAATTCCTTTTCTTTTAGGGGCTTCAAATGCCTTCTATTATGTGTTCTGAACCAAGGTGTTTAAACATGTCTCCTCGTGCTCTTTTAGTTCCGTCAAAGTTGGACCGTCAATTGATGTATGTCCCATCTCTTTTGCAACCGATAATAATCAATCAGCTGACGTCATGTCCGTCATGCACAGTGTCTTCGACTCCAAATTCACCATATTCGACTCCCATACGTTAGAACAAGGTCCTATCTCCTTATCTGCTTCAACCCCTGAATCATTATCCCCCTTATCTTTAGTGGGGTCTACTTCTGGTGATAGCTCCTTAAGAGCTAAGCTTTCTGCTTTCATGCCTACCCCACACTTATAACAAAAAAGAATCTTGGATTCCGCTGCAGATCCACATCCCACAAGCCTAGATAATTCATCCAATTCCTCTTTCAACGCCTGGACACGAGCCCTTATTTCATCACAATTCAGTATACCGTCATAAGATCCTTCTACATGTGTTTCCCTAGTTTTATGCGTCATACAAATGCCTTCATTATCACTCATAGCAACTGCCTTTTCCTTTCGCATTAGCACCCTTCGATCAACATTCTGTGTGGCATGAACATTTGCCGTAACTTCAGCATATGTCATCCCTTGTCGGCGTCCAGCGTTCACTGTTTGACCTTGTCTCCAACTACAAATGAGTCAACTATAGCTTGAAACACTCGCGAAATTGAAGCCCATCCTTCACCATTAACACCTTCCGGCACCATCACCACTCCCTTCCGATGCCTATCCCCATACTGTGCTATCATCAAGTATCTACCACGATTGTTCACTCAACGTTGTGCCAAAAAAGCTCTTGATGACTCATTAAATCTTGAGACAAAGTCAACCCGCCTACAAGTCACTCTCAACTTATCCACCATATTCACCATCCAGAGCGCGTCAAACCTTCCCATACATATTGCATTCGAGATCCTCGAACCCCACTCTGTCATCCTAACAGTGCCGAGATTGTTAACAGAAACTTGAAACTCCTTCGCCTCCACTCGAAACCAACAATTGAATACCAAACCGTATGCTTCCGTGAACTTTCTCCCCTGATTGTGTGTGAACAGTACATCGGATGGTATTCTAGGCATCATGGCTGATCTGGAAACGTTCTGGCGAAGATTCTATCTTTCCAGCGCCGGCACATGGCTCACACGCGCCGGCATAAGCACCGCTCTGACGGCGCGTGCTCCTCCCCAACCTCACCCCGCCTCGAAATCGCCTGCTCTACGTTCCAGTCAGGCGCATCTGCCTAAGTGGTGGCCGGATTTTGTATGATCTGGGTTTGCATCCCAGATCGGTCCATCTGAATCCGTCCACCAGTATAGCCGTCGACCAGTGGCGTTACTCCATCCCAGGTGGTCACATCTCCGGTTCTAGCAAAGCGACTGTGCTAAGGTTTTCACCTAGGGCCGCCGCCTGAAGGTATGGCTGTATGTGTGGCATGAGGCTGGATGAGTTAGGGTTGCCGTTTGACACGATGTTGTAGTTGCCGGTGAGAAGGATGGTCGGAGGTGGATCGACAGTGGATTGCTGGTCATGGGTTTGGGTTTTGAGTTTGGATATTTGGCAGGTCATGGGTTGCGAGATTTCTACAGTTAGGCCACATTCTTTTTTTGGATTGTCCCATATATATATATATGTAAACAAAACCATTGGGCTACATTGCTTTTGGATAATCCAAAACCAAAGAAGTTGAAAATTATTAGGAGATAAAATATGATTGCATAATTGCTATATGAAAAATTTCTTAATTTTGAAAAGGAGCATATCTCTTATTAAGACGGCCCATTGTGATGATTTCATGAAGAATGGTGATGGAGACTGACGTAAAGGAAGTTGTATCTGGATTTCCAAATGCCCATGATTTCTCTAATTGATAACTGTGAGATGGCATTAGAATCTCGATAATGGGTAAGATTGACGGTAGCAAGCACAGATAATAGGACCATCCTACAATCAGTGGTGATTGTAGGAATTAAAAAGAGAGAAGGAAAAAAAAATTGTGCAGTGAGAGTAATTGAATTTGTGTTGATGATGTTCTTGCATATAGCAGAGAATAGAGTTCACCCCACATGCCAAATGAGGCACTTTTAAAGTGAGGTAAGTGGTTGAAGTGTATCATAAAATAAAAATGGAAAAAGTGTTAAACTTGTAAATGTGTCATAAGCATTTAAAATCTTGGATCTAGCTTAACATATATTATGTAAATGGTATAAATTGTCATCAATAGACATCAATTAAAACGAAAAAAAACTAGGCATATCGTTTTAAGCTTACCGATTTGTTTTTCTCAAATATTTCTTGGGTGCCATTTCCATGGTGTACATCCTGCAAGCAACATGGAAGATAAAGATCTGCAGATTGAGAATATAATGTGCACACACACTAGACAGTATACACAAAATATTTACAATTTTGTCATAAAAATTTGACGCAGCAGTAGTAATCTTGTGATTAATGTCATTACCCAATCAATAATTAAGACCTTCTTAGCTCCTGCAACCTGAGCCGCGCATGCAGCAATGGCTGCATTATTGTGAAGGCAGAAACCCATGGACTGTTTTACACCAGCATGATGACCAGGAGGGCGAACCTGACTCGTTGATGGGAGAGTAGAGATAGAGAAAATGTTTACATTTGTAAATGTTTTATTTTTTTCCTACTGTAAAAGATTATTTTCTATCAGATCAAGATACAGAGATAGAAGATCCCTGAAGAATAATAATAGAAGGCTCCCTTACCAAAGCAAAACCATTTTTGGCACTTCTAGAATAAATAGCTGAAGCGAGATCAGCACATAAGCCAGCTGCAAGCCTGGCAGCACGTGCTGAATATTGATTCGCATACGTATCAGGTGTGAAGTAGCTGTGAATAAGAAAAAAAATTGTTATTGTCTTTTCTGAACAAAAAATGGTTTAATGTTACGAAGTTCAACGTGCACATCCATCAAGATATGATCGTTGCACACATAAGCATGGTCCCACTAAGAGCTAGTTGCACAAACAAATAAAGAAACATAGTAGCAATAAAAGCTGTACAAAGAGGATTAACAAGAGGGTAACGAATGATGTCCAAATAGTAGAATATTTAACATACCAGGAGAGAATGTTGCTAGTAAGTTCAACGGCTTCAATATTCTCCAAGGAATGTACCTAATATCTCCAAAATGATGCATTTATTATCTGAGAGGACATTGTTCCACAAATAGATAGAAAAATTTGCATCTCCATTGGAATCTTGCAATTCGGAATGACATAGAAACCGGAACAAAACTTTTCAACAGATATATAAAAAATAATAAAATTAGCATTAAAATGTTCTTATAGTACAAATTTGGAAGGATTGTACAAAATTCTGCTTGCATGCATAATACTTCTGAAATCCAATCCTAAAAATGATTCAGCCAATAATTTCACAATGGCAATAACTTTTGTCCCTGTATCTTACCATCTGGAGTTCTTCTCGTTTAATTTCTCTTGCCAATATAGGAAAGCACCTTCCAGGATATATACCTGCAAGTATTATTAAAACAACCAAACAAGTGACAGCTTCTTGTCAATAAGTTGTCAAAATAATTAAGAAACGATATATGAATTTCAGCAGGAACAACAAGGAGTGTGCATTCATTTTTCTCTTTTAGACCAGACTTGATAGTGTTTCATTTTCTGGAAGAAAGTATGACCCGAACCTGCAGTTTCAAGGCTAGCCACAATGGCTCGAAGACGATCTGGCCTTTCTGGGTGGGGATGAGACTTCATTTCAACCTTACAAGCAAAACAGCAGTGTAATCTCTAATTAGAAAATATAAGTACCGGCAAAGAACTACTTTCAAAAGGCTTCTATGTCTTTGTGGACTGATAAAAATTACACTACTAAACTCACACTCAATGTAAAACCACACGGTACATTAAGGGTATATCTGGTATGTAGGATTGAAGAATATTAATAAAGAGAAGCATGTGGGAAAATTTGTCAGTTATCATGTCTAATCTCCTCACTCTGATGTATCAAACAAGCGATAAAGGATAATGCTAAGCCGGGATCCAATTAAATGCCCAAAAACAGCTAATATCATGGAGACGTAGAGCAAACAAATTGAAAAAGGTAAATGAAGGGGCAATTATAATGCTAAAAGATAAAGTTGGGGGATATCAAAAGAAACTTGTAAAACAAAATGTGGGTTAGAAATACATACTTCTTCATGAAGCAACATCCTTTCGTCAAATCCTATGGCAGTAGATTTGTCCGATGCAATTGTTTGCAAGCATGAACCTACATTAATAAAATAAACTAAAAATGAAAAATGAGAATTATTATAGTGTACTAATAGAAATATGGCAAGGCAACGGAACCATGCAATAACTATAGAACCAACAAAGCAGGAAAATAAACTTTGCTCCTAAGCAAATAAGCCAAACTTTCTTTGGAGAGACAATAAGTCATTTTATTTACCATATTTATAAGTTGGTAAAAATATTAACCACGAAACAAGAAGGCTAATGGAAACATAAAACGGACATGACATATAAATACGGTCTTGTATATATTTAGAATCATCAACTTGCAAGCCGAAGAAACTTTTTTGTAGCCTTGAATGAAAATATCCACTCCTGCATACATATTTTCATTTTTCTTCTTTGTAACAGAGTCAAAGATTACCATTACTCTATTCAAATTAATTTGTAAAAGGACTGAACCTTGCTCTGATCAAACTCAGGATTCCTCAGGGTTGAAGTTTCATTTTTGTCTCATGCTAGATAGAGAATACATACTGAACCTCATCTGACATATGTCTTCATCATATGCACTAGGGAACTTCCCAAGAACATATAGTTTTTCTTAATTTCAATCATAAGAGAAAAGCTCATGGAACTCCAGAAAGTTGCTTTTCAGCACTCACCAATTAAGGTATTGAAACAAACTCCAAAAATAGAGACCTCTTTTCAAACTTTCTGTATATAAATTCTGATAGAAATTCAGCACCCCATGTATAATCTTGTTGGCTGCATCAAGTTCCACCTTGTCAAGTAAATTTTTCCTGCTCATGTTTGCAACTGCATTTTTTTTTTTTTTTTCCTTTGCTAACTTAAAGCCCACAGGATCTGCCATGTAATAGCTGCTCCACTATTCCACTGCCTTAGAACAAGCCCTCCCCCTCCTGCATATCCAGTACCCTCAAATCATCTAATAAAGTAGAGAGTTTTCTATCAAACCTCCCCCACTTTTCAGTTTTCCACCTATGAACATCTTCTTTGATAACTTCCTTTCTTTCCCTTCACCAACTTAAAGCCTGCAGAACCTATCGTACATGCTCGCTCCACCATTTCACCAATTGAGCCGTAAATCCCTCAGTGTAGTGACATGTTTTTTAATGGAAAGTTCATAAGATCCTTGCTTATCCCCCATTATTAAGAACGATCAGTGAATAATCAGAGAGAGATCTAGGTACAAACTGCTGCAGGGCAGCACCAAATTATGGAAGATCTCCCAAAAATTAGAAATTATGAATCAATCCATGAGGGACCTGGATGGGAAATCCCTTGACTTACCCAAGAAAACTCCCATCCCCACCTGTCAAGGGTCAATCAACCAGACTGACTTCACAGGCAAAATTGTTAAAATCAGCCGTGGATGAAGTAAAAGACCATTCCGCCCTTTCATCTGGGAAGCAGATGACAATAATGTTTCACAATCAAGAAGTGTAGAATCCAATCTTAACCACCAAAAAGTCAAGCCATGCTAACGAAAAATTTAAAGCAAACTCGTCAAACTACCATTTAGGAGTGAGTAATAACCTTTATCTCTTTCAGCTATTTCTGTTTCGTTTTGAAGGAGACATTCCTCCTGAGAGAAGGGAGAGGCAAAATATCCATGCTTTAGTATTCCAGAGTTTCTATGTTCACCACATACCTACATCCGAAGTATTGCACATCCAGTTGCTTAAAAATGTACTTCAACTTACAAAATTACAGGTTAATAAAAATTAAGAACGAAAACAGGATTCTGTGTAAAACATTTGCTCACATTGCAATGGTCAAAATTATCAAGATTAAATATTGTGCAATTGACACAAAACCACTTGGCGATTTCAACGACGTGATGGTTCTCAAATGGTTCCCAATCACTGTCTTCATCCTCATCTTCGTCGAAGTCATAAGGGGTATTGTACATATCCTCTAAAGTCATATCATTCTTCCGCTTCGCTTTCGCCTGCAGTAGTGAATCACGTGAAAAGCAACCACTTATCACAACCAAGTAGCACAAGACCACACGCGCCGTCAACCCCAAAAATAGAAATTATAAAAAAAAGAAAAAGCAAAAAGGAAAACGATAACATTAAACGAACATTTTTATACATATCTGTATTTGGCGCACACACAAATAGAGTGGACTGCTTACGGATTTTGTAGCATCCTCTGCATTGGAATTGGGCTCTGAGTCTCCGTTTTGAAGATGATTTTCAGCGTCTCCATTGTTCAAGCGAGTCATTTTTTGGGTCAAATCTTTAGGGCAGGCAAAACATGCGAATTCTCGTAGGATTCGACTGATGATTTGCGGGGAGCAGCAGAGGAAATACAGTGGGAGCAATACCGCCGAGCGCGAGTATTTAGTAAATGGTTTTTTTTGCTGATGCACCCTCTGGTTTTAGCGAATCGAAATTGTCCGTTCTGTTTTAAACTTAGCCCGTGTGCTCCCTTCTATTAAAAAAAATATCTTTTAGGGAAAAACGAATTTTAAAATAGTATTTTTTTTTTTTTTTTAAGAATTTGTAGTTAAAAAATAAAAATAATTTTTGAATTTACATGTAAAATATTTTAATATGAGATTGTGATTGAAAATGAGTTTGAGAAAAAAATATTTATTTTCTATGGAAGACAGATAGGGGCTTAATTTTTCATGGGAGTTGACCTTGGTCAATTTATTTCGAGTGTTGTTGGAATAAGCTAAAAATAAGCTTATTTTTCTTTTTATTCTTAAAAAATTATCTAAATTTTGCTTGAATATTTTATTCTGTTAGAATGGTTTTGAATATGCCCTCTACATCTTAGAAGAAAATCACCTAGTTTTTATTTTTGTAGGACTTCTTTTATGTTATGATCGCGTTTGATGGTAATTATATCGACAACTACAGATACTAACATGATTATTGAAGCAAAGTTGAAAATAAAGAAAATCCATTTTGTGATACAATTATACATTCAAAGCTATCCAAGTAGTGATCCTCTAGGGCTTGATCAAAAAATAAAAAAGATCGAGTTTGAATGCGCTAGAAGTTGAACAATTCTAGACGATCATTTTTCCAATATTCCACATATGAAGATTTCATATGATCTAGCTTTCAATGCTTCGCCAATTAAAGGTAGATGCAAGTATTAAATTGTTAGATCTTCTATGAATGTGCAATGTATCTATTATTTTGTTGTTGTTTGCAAAATATTTCTTCCGATTAAAACTACCACAAGTGTACGGGTCGTGACAAGTAATAAAGTGGACTTTAGAAGTCCGAGTATCGTCCCACAGAGAAAGAGTAGTTCAATTTTATTTATTTTAGCCTTAACCGAAATTAATTGATTTAAGATGAATTTTAGAATCAAAAACCCTAATTTTGGGAGAAATCCCCAAATTAAAAAACCCTAATTTCAAATCAACTTAACGAATGACTTAATTACGAAATGTTATAAAAATAAATGAAATGTATTGTCAATTTATGAAAATCTATGTAAAACGAATGCACTAGAATCACGAATCCCCAAATAATTACTAATTAAACCCTAATTTCACAATTTTGATAATCCAATAAGAATTTGACAAATCAATGCTCCTAAATCTATTCAATACTCTCTCTCGAGATGTATTGAACCTATTCTCATAAATCACCAGCCTATATCTCTATGACAGATGCAATTATATAAGAACGCATGTAATCTTTTTTGTGAGCAATTAAAGATTTACATAGGGTATAGGGGTATATTTCTATCCCCTATCGGACCCTATGATGAATTATATATGTCGAGTTTAATCCAATTTTCTCAAATTCGGAATTAAACCACCAAGTTCACACAAATTAAGTGCACATTAATTGTGGAAATAAATAAATCAATATAATTCATTCAAATATCTCATCGAACTATGAATTCAAAATCATGAAATAACAAGTTTAATAATAATTGCATGGTTCATCGATCACCTAGTTGCAGAAATCTAGCCTATCATGATAAAAATAACGAAATCTAACAAGTTTTGAATAAAATAAATCATCGGGTTATCAAAACTTGAAGAAATCTTGTAAATCTTCGCATCAATCCTTGTTCTAACCTTCAAATCCTCTCCAAGATGAATGTTTTTGCCTCCCAATTCGTTCGTGCGGCTTCTGGATGTTTATTTGCTATTTAAACCCGTCGAAATTAGGTTACCAAAGGAGTTGCAATCATATAAGGAAACTGCAAAAATCGGGGACAGGTTATACCTATGCGACCGCATAGTAGAGCGAACTTCTAATTTGAGTCATTTTGATTCTCAAGTTTCATTTCTTCACTCCTTGACCTCCTCTCTTGTTTCTAGTTGTTCCAATGTTCCATTATAACTTTCAATTGGTGCTTAGCTTGATCAATTGCTTGATGTGTTCATCGGGTCAACTTTTAGATAATTGCAATTTGGTCCTTGAATTTTCATTTTGCTCCAATTTGGTCCTTTTTCGGCTCTTGTCTCCTGAATTCCACTATTTCCATAGAATTACCTACATTGCATGAATTTGACAAAGTTAAGTAACAATTCAATCATTTTACTTGTATTTAAGTCATGTTTGTTATGTAAATAAGTGTGCAAAAACACACTTATCATTTATCGACTTTAAATTTACTTTGTACATCTCAATATACTTCAAATGTCATCTTTGAGTATGAACGAAAAATTTGTTATCGTGAGGTCCCTTCTACGAAGATCTTCATCTTAATGATGTCTATATTTGAAACCAATGTCCTGCTGTATGCGAGCTTGCTACACGAGCAGCATGCATGAGAGGTACAGGGTTAAGTTAGGGGGAGTTGAACAATCGTAGATTTTATGTATGTTTGATAAAGTTTATAATTGCTTATAAGCTGCTCAAATTCTATTTTTATTCGCACGTTTAGTAGGATCCACAATTTTTACCTACTTTTACTCACTTATCATTTGTGTGATCAATTGATTATAACATAGAGTTGTTTTGAAAGAATTATAACATAAATGAGTTGTGAATCCCTCAAAATACGCATATAATAAATGGAATAATATTCGTATCCCCACTAGGATCATCAGATGATGTGGGATGAAAAAATAATATCTATTCGGATATGAGATTCACTTTATTATCCTCGTAACGTAACGTTACATCTCACGAAGATGATCTCTAGCGAGACAAATAACATTAATAAGTAGAACATTGATTGTGAACATCTTATTTAAATTAATGTTTGATTCTATGTCAACTTATAATACAATTACAATTGTTTTACAAACTGGCCTTGAAAACTTTACCAACACTCTCTGGGCATCCATGATTCTCATAACCTTCTATGATATCTCGCCTTGTGTACGTAAAAAATATCACGATGCCAAAGATGTTGATTCTTCCAAGATCTTGTTCAAATATATATTTTAGTGTGTGGGCTACTAAGAAAGCAAACGATAAAAAAGGTTCAAACTCAATGTTGTTTAATCTGATCGGACTGGTCAATTCAATTGAGAAAATCAAGTTCAATTTAGTAAGGGAACAACCTCAACTGCAGTTTCACTATTTTTTTAATGGAGGAGAATAGATTATGTGTAAACTAATGTGTATGCATGCAACCATCCAGAAGCACGTATCGATGTATATATGAACATCTCGCAAAAGAAGTCACATAATTAATAAGAATTAAAGGGGCAATGTCTTGCTGCTTGATTTATTTTTCTCTCAAGAAAATAATTCCATTTTTTAGTTATTCAAATTGCTTTGATGGGAAACTTACGGATAACTCATTCTTTCAAGTTGCAGGCTTGGATATGCGAAAATAAGGTACTAAACTTTTTCTCTGGAGACAATATTTATTTAATTTTTGGCAAATTTGATAACAGAAAAGCTCGTTTTCTCTATGTTCCCCATTTTTCTTAGCTAATTTTCTCCTAGTGTATGGAGTTCAAAGTAAGCTTTTTGAAACAGAGTTGAAGACTTTTTAATGGGAAACATAATGGAACATTTTTCTGAACTTTTTCATATTTAATTAAGTGGAGAGAGTAATTATCAGTCTAATCGATATCCTTTCTAATGTTAAAACTGATACTTTTTACGTGCTTTAGTATTTTAGAAGAAGTTTCCTGATAGAGCTTTTTCTCGACTTTCAATTACATGTTCCCACCCACTCGTCAACATTACTATTTTGAATGTGTTAGAAAGGCTCGATCCTCAGAAACTAGAAAGTATTATCGATAGCTTTGTCACTATACTTTGATGGCATTTAACAATGTTCAATGTCGTACGCTTTTCTATTACCTGAAATTGCTATATGTCAAAAGTTGCAACTTCTGCTAATGCTTCATATCTACTTTATTCTTAGTGCAGCTTCAGTCTCCATAAAATGATAATATAGTTTTATTTCATCAATTTTTTATTTATTTTTAATAATAAAAGACATTCTATCAATTCTTATAGTTCTCTAGGTGACCCTTGTGCTTCGTAGGAGCTATAAATATTTCATTGAGCCCTGTTACACGGACAGGGCCACGTTGTCCATCCAAGTGCAATGTCCACCCCCTATTGGCTGGGGTCTGTTGGGACCCCCAGTCAGATTGGCCCCGTCCGTTTATCTTTTTTCTATTTCATTTTCAGCATCATAGTATCTGGTACTTGAACATTGTCTTCAAAGTTCAAGCCATTATCTCTAATGTATATTTCCTCTTCATATCGAAGGTGACCTTTGAACATTGAAACAAGTCTTCCATAAAATAATTTCTTGTTCTGATTTTAAGACCCTGACTACATAATATTAAACGTTGCCCTGGGGATATTTGAATCACTTTGCTCACTTAATCCAGATTTACATCCCGGCATAGCTAAGAGAATCACATTCTTTTATAACTATATTACAGTGTCGTAGTGGCAGAGAGAACTCGATCCTTCTAAGCAAATTTATGTCGAAGTAAGAGAAGGGGAAAAATGCGCCTGATTCTGCAATTGAGGCCATTTTTCAGTAAACTCGCTAATTACAGGGATAAATAGACATCTAATTGAAGAACAAGCTTGGCCGGAGAGCCAACAGAAGCCATAGTAGTACCCAAGTGTTTTTTTTTTTTTTTTTTTTTTTTTACAAAGAAAATGCATAGATAGCTGCCAATGGCTTTAGGTTCAAGATAACTATTGGCATGTTCAGTAATAGATAAAGCATAGCTACAATCTTGTCTATTGCATTGTACACAACAGTCTAATACAGCATGTCAAACATGCACCACAGGTAAGAGCTAGCTATTCAAACTTGGGCAAGAATCAGAATCTGCTGGCTTGGGAATCATTGGACCACCATTCATCCTAGCACGAGCCTCAGCAAACATCCTCTGCTGCTCAACCAATGCCTCTTCCTCACTCATATCAGCTCCGTTGCTCCATTTCCCAGTTCTCACTGTGTCCTGTTTCCAAACATTAAGTAAATATCGAGCAACTATCAAGGATTCAGAAACTAGAACATTTATGGCTTATTTGTTAGGGTGGAAGGTACAATACTAGATGGTATTAAATATAAAAAGAATTAATATTATCAATTGTACAGCGAGTCTTATCCAGCATTGTATCAAGCATACCTTAAACCCTTACAGCAGTTATAATACACTCTAAAATCCTTAGCTGTTAACTTCAGTTAACAGGTTCGACCGACAATTTCAAACTAAAACCATTTAAGACGTCAAAAACTACATGGAATTGGAAACGGGAAAAAGGGAAATGCTAACAATTTTGTGAATACCAGACATGGCTAAAATAAAGACATTGTTCCATTAAAATGAACTTTGACAATTTTCATTAGAACCAGAAAAAAAAACACCAGCATGGAGCCCGCCAAGTCAGAGAGAAAGAGAGAGTACTTGCCATAGTCTCAAGTTTGTGTTGTTCATATGCAGCGAAAACCTCTTCATTATACTCCCCAAATCCAAGATCCTGAAAGATTAGTTTCGAAAGAAAAAAATAAAAATAAAATTATATAGGGAAAAATGAATGCAGTACACATGACCAATAAGAAATTATTTAGTCCTTGTTTGAGCCCATTCTCTAGAACTCATTTTCAACACAATTTGTCCCAATAAAGTAATTTACAAGCAAACCCAAAATTTCTACACTTTTTAACCACACATTCTCCAAAAAAAGTCATGTATTGCAAAATCAATTCTCAAAAAATGGGGCTCAACCAGGGGCTTAGTGGTCAACTTGCATGTTACCCCTTGACAGTGTGTGTATATTAGCAAGTTTCATTTTTTTAACAAATGATTTAACATGGCCAACACAATTAATTTTGCTGAACTGAAAGTCCTAAGATGAAGTTATAGAGAAAGTAAATCAGCCAAGAGATCAACAAATACTTCCTCTCTTCTCAACATTGAGTCCAGTAAGATGAGAAGGATAACTGCTATTACAGAACAAGACTACAGAAAGAAAAATGATTACCCATCTTTGCAGAGTCAAAGAAACTACCATCATTTCACTCTGGCAGTCATAATACAAGTCTTGAGGTGAAATAGTATCCAACAAACGAATATAGAAAAACAAACAAGAAAACACCAGTTACCATAAAAACTTCATGTTACATTCAACTGTCCAACTTGACCACATGTTATTCGGTTCCAGTACCTCGATCTAAACAATGTTTTTCACCAGTTTACCCATGCTATTAGAGACAAGACGAGACATATTTCCCAACCAGGACACTACTCAAAACAAAAATCTAGCATAACATGAACATCTATGTGTCATTTCATAATGGAATCCAACGGTTGAGCTCCATCAATTAAACGGAACACCAAAAAATTTTAAATGACAATTACTATTAAATTTCATAATATCATGGCAATGATAGCTAATGTAATATATGCCACTAAAAGCAATCAATTAGCCACAAAAACGGATTAGACATGAGGACTACCAGATGACGTATCAATATTCCGCAAAATTCTCCTTCGGTGAATTTAACAATTCTAATTGTAATAGTTAGACATATGTAATTGATTTCATTCTCCCACACAAAAAAGAAAACAGGATACTGGTGTTCTAGTCAGGGATGACAGGATCAATTCGTAACCATGATGACCAGTCCTTGAACAATAAGCAATGATAGAGGAAGAGATTAAGGAACAAAAAGTTCTTTCAGAAGTTGTCCATAAGCCATTACCATTTCACCAACTTGGAATTTTTGATTTAAAATATTCAACAAAATGGACAGGAAGGATACAAGGGAATCAGGAGAAATATAGGATTATGGTTAGAAACCTGCAAAGCCTTGAGTACATGTTCTGGTGCGATTGTTTTCCTCTCTTCCCTGTTACAAACTTCATTTGATTCTGATGAAACAAGATTAATAAACTCTGCAGCAGCACAAACACATGAAAATCGCACTGCCTTCAGAATATAACATGGAACATTATTATAAGAACTGGGAAAAATCCTGTAATAAGACTAGGAGTTAAACAATATTGAACTGCACAGGTTAGAGCAACTGCTAGAGGAATAAATCAATGCAGTAATCACAAATACTAATACTCCTAAAATTACAGAGCATCACAAAAAGTTAAGACTTTGGTTAGGCAAGAACAACCAGAATATTCTCGGTATTGAAAAGAAGAAACTCTAAAAGCCCTATGACACGTGATTATGCAGTTAATAACTCATCTAATACAACACCAAAAGATGGTGAGAAGACGAATCGCGGCAAAAATATACGGGCATGTAAAGAAAAAAAAAAACTTCATTCTAAATGCCCTTTCCCAGAGATAAAATGACAAAAGATAAAAAAAGCATAAACAATTATACATTTAGTAACAACATCCAGAAAATATAGTGTATGAAACTCAGATAAAACAGTTGTTTCTTCAAAATTATCAGTAAACTAGTAAATATAAAAAGAGATGATAGAAA